ATTGTATGCTTTCGTTTGAGAGCTTCTATAGAAACGATTCGCTTGAGGGTACGAAGGAGGCCAAGAAGAAAGCCTTTTCATCGAAATTGTAGGTGTTCTGGGGTAGGATATTATACTGCTTGATCTTCTCCTGCAACTATTCAATAGAAGTCAGCAAAAAGCTCATGGAATTGCACGCGAAAAGAAGCAAAAAAACTGCAATTACAAGAGTAAAGAAGTGTTCAAAATAGTAGCTATTATCTGCCTGCTTTCTCTTTTGATCCAGAGCACGAAGATAGATGCTCTTGATCTTTGCTTTATGCCGCTCACAAAAGCAAGACACTCAGTTGATTTCTACTTGCATTTTGGTGATCTCAAATACAAAATTGCGCAGTATTTGAGGTGTCACAGGGAAGCCGCGATCGGATAACTGATTAATATGAAATAGGAGGTGTTGTTCTTCAGTATTTGTGAGATTCTGACAGTAGATTGATGTTGCCTCTGTTCTGGAGACCTGTTGACCTTTGAACCGCCGCATCAAGGTAACGCGATTGATTCCGAATTCCTTTGCAACCTCAGCATATTTAGGAATCAATTGTCGATTCAATTGAGCGATCGCTTGCTCTATAATTGCTTCGTTGGGTGGCATGGTGGGTGGTTGAAGTTGAAGAGTTGCAGGGATTCATGGAAAAAATAGGAGTTCGTTGGGTGGTGAGTCACGTTAACGAGCGGATTGCCCACGGGTTGATGCGCAAGTTAATGAATTAATGAAATTACTGGCCATCTTTACGCATAGAAAAATAATTTCAGGTTAAAAATATAAAGATAGTTTGTCGCCCAATTGATAATAATAAATAATCATTTGTATTTCGGCTAACACGCCACTTCAAATCTTCACGAGGAACGTCCACACTTGTATCAAAACGGCCATAAAACCCACAAAACTCTCAGAGTAGATAGCATTACACAATCAATGTTTACCTTTGGCAATGCTATCCAGATACCCGAGTAAGAACGCCTTGTTACTTGGTGATGTTGGAGCCGCCTTACGAGTATCGATTCCACCAATGGGAGAAATGCTTCCACCAGTAGACAATGGAGCGGGACCGTGTGCTGTCCGCATGCCAACTTTAGGCGAAGACAAATAAACTGGGCTAATGATGGCTGAACGTGGTGGAGATTTTGGTGCAGGGGGAGAAGGTCGACTTTGTTCTACGGAGCCCGGGGGGGGAGAAGGAGAGACTTTTCCAAAGAGAGATAGCAAAGCTTCCTTTTGGGAGGCCGTCTGACTCAGGCGTCGGTCATAATTCGCATTCGTTTGCACAGAATTCCCCCGCGGATGATCAGACACAGTAGCTTTTTCAGAGAGAGTAAACGCACTAACAGTCACTGTGCCATTAGGAAGAGAAGCCTGGAGGTCTTCCTTAACAGGACGGCGGAGGATTTTCGGTTGAAACGGCTTTGTGATCTCAGAAAGTTTGACATTTCTTCTCGGGGATGAAGATGGTGGTTGTTTGGCGTTGGCGGGTTGGGGCGGCACAACATCCTTTCGCAGGAGGTGGGCGTGGGGAGGATAACGAAGTTTCCTTTTGGTGGTGAAGCCTCACCCTTGCCAATATTTTCTGGGAGAGTGTCTCTGCAGCCTTATTAGGGAACTGGTTTTTGCAATGGCTTTCGAACTGAGGGATTGTTCAAGGGGACCTGACACAGTGGGCCGAAGGTT